CCTCTGCCTTCAGACCACCCCTCGAAACCACGCCTTCAAAACACATGAACCTGCATGCTGTCTGCAGCGCTGATGCAGAGCGCTATGATCACTCCTCTGAAACAGTTTATTAACGCCTAAATTAAAATAAAATGCCGAAATCTGCCGGAAAAACATGTTCGCTTTTATTATCCTGGTGCCTGCAGTTTGGATTATGTACATGTGGCAAACCGCGAGGAGGTGACCGGGCCATTGGCTGCTGTTGAATGGGATTCTTAGTGACAGAGAACCGCCGGTGTACGGGGTCTGTGCGGTTCCAACAGAAATAATATTTGAAGGCAGGATGGTAATCTGGATGAACTGACTGCACTGACCATATATTTAGGTGGACTTTCTCACTTCAAAATAGATTCCAACTACTAGAAAGGAATGGGTAGCTCCGCCCAACGTGCATCAGATACATTTTCTACAGAGCAGCAGAGATACTTCAGCTGCGCATCAGAACTAAACTTGTTCAAGCATCAAAAATTAAGCAGCACACATGTTTTTGCTGCTGTTGCTGTTTTAGGTATGAATAGGGGGACCAGACGACCTCTTTCTCCCGGACATGTCCTACTTTTCATACCTACAAAAATGTCCGGGGGGTAAATTTCAAAATCGTCTGGGATTTTGCAGCAGAACCGAGCCGTGAGCTCCGGGGCTGGGGACAGAGCGACCGAACCCGACCCGGTGACGGGGGGTCGATTCATTCATGTGTCAGGGTACGTTCACAGGGGTAGGACAAGCAGACGATCATGATTGACGTGTCAGGAACCAATCGTGTACAACAAACCGTCTTTTGTGATTGGTTGGGGTTATTCATTGATTTCTAACTGTAGCGAGGACCAATTATTTTAGTTTCCCTTCCAGACCTTCTATTTCCCTGCTGGCTAAGCGGCTGTGGGGAGATCTTTAAGCCACATGATGAAAAAAGTGTCAGGAAAGATCTCCTACTGCTCCCTTTAAGGTAAGGCACTGCATTCCATTATGAACCCAAACTACCATTTTAGTTTCCCTTACATGGGCCCATCGCTACTACAATGCCAAATAGATTGAAATCTGAAATAGCATCTCACATAACATTTGGTTAAGAAAAACTTAAGGCAGCCAAGACAGCTGTTGGCAGAGCTTTTGAAATACATGAATATAGGGAAAAAATGCTCTGAGGTTTTTTGTTTCTTTTTTTAAAAAGTTTTTTCCTTTCTAAACTGTGAACCAAGAGATTCCAAGACCCCACCACACTGAACCACATTTAGCACATTTCCAGATAACTCCAAAAACAGTTAATGTTTGTGGATGAAAGACATAACTATCACTATTAAGTACATCACCTGTACAATGAAGAAAAGTTGCTGTTAATCTCTTACATGGACACATCACATGTTTCACATTTACCAGCTGTGTCACATCAAAACTCATGGAGCGCAACATAAACTGGTGAGACTAATAAAACAAATCTACTGTATCTAAGAGATAAAGTAACAAGTATAATACTTACTGTTGCCTTTCCTCCTACAGTCAAGGCAGTAAAATCAAGAAATGTAATTTGAACTATAAAAAAAATTAAATGACAGGGAGTGCATATTTTTAAAGCTGAGAGAAATTCAAAAGTTAACATGACGGACATGACTGTATCAATTGGTTTCATTTTTGTTTTGTTGTATTCTCAGTTGACTAAAAAGCCAACACTTGACAGAATTACCTGGTTTCAGAGAGATATCATCAAACCAAGAGGAAATGAGTGGTTTTTGTCAGTTAAACTTGTTTTCAAATTAACCTGCAATCATGTTTTTTCACCACTGAAATGGACACAAAAATGCTAAAGATGGCAGATGCAACCCACTTTAATTAGCTGAAATTATGTCTGAGAGACATGGGAGCATAATGAGGTTTGGAATCGTGCCAATAGACTGAGGGAAGCAAAAAAAAAAGAACATTTAACTTTCCAATATCAGAAACAGGAATAGCAGGTAAAAAATCTATTTGTTTAGCGACATTGTATCAGTTTTATTAGAGCATGATTTAATCTCCTGAATTTTTAAAACTACATAATTCTGTCTACTGACTTTTTCCTTATTTCAAGCAGATATAATAGTGGAATTAAAATATAAGGCCAAGTTTAGCATCCACATAAAGTGGGCTAAAAAGTATTTAGTCAGTTACTGATTGTGCAAGTTCTCCAACTTAGAAATTTATTTATAGGGACACATCAACTATTAGACAAAACAAATTTAAAAGATACCCAGGAGTTTAACATTGTAGGCTTTTTTTAAAGAACATATTTTAAAAATAAGTATTAAGTCAATAACAAAAATTATCCTCAGCACTTTGGAGCAGAAGCATTGTTGGGAATGACAGAGGTCCAACAGTTCCTGTAAGTCTTCACCAGGTTTGCTCACACTGTAGCTGGTATGTTGGTCAATTCCTTCATATGCAGATGTCTAGGGCAGTGATGTTTCAAGGCTGTCGCTAAGCAACAATGACTTTCAACTCCCTCCAGAATAATTCTATGGGGTTGAAGTCCGGAAACTGGCTAGACCACTCCAAGACCTTGAAGTGCTTTTAACATAATCAGTCCTTTGTTACCAAGGCGGTTTGTTTGAAATCATTGTAAAGCTGGAAGAACCAGCCATATTCAATACTCTCATCGATGGAAGCAGGCTTATGTTTAAAATCTCACCATTCATGGCTTTGTTCATTATTCCCTTATCACAGATCAGTCATCCTGTTATTTCACAGAAGAAAAAAAAAAAAAAAGTAAAAGCTAAACAAAACATGATGTTTCCACCTCCATGATATGGAGTTTATGGGATGCAACTCATTCATTATTATACCCAAACACGAAACGTTGAGTTGGTGCCAAAAAGTTCTATTTTTGTTTCATCTGTCCACATGATATTCTCCTCATTCTCTTCTAGATCATCCATATGCTCTGACGGTCCTAGACTGTACTGGCTTGTGGGGGGTGGGGGGTGGGGGGGGCTGGCATTGAAGGATGTGAGTCCCTCTCGGTGTAGAGTGTTACTGATGGTAGCCTTTGTTCCTCTGGTTCCAGCTCTCTGCAGGTCATTCATCAGGTCCCTTCATACTTCTAGTTCTTGAATTTTTGCTCACTGTTCTCATTATCATTTTGACCCCATGGTGTGAGCTCTTATATGGGGCCCCAGATAGAGGAAGATTATCAATGGTCTTGTATATCTTCCATTTTCTTACATTTGCTCCCACTGTTCACTCTTCCCAGCCTGGTGCAGGTCTACTTCTTTCAACAGTTCTTTGGAATTAGCCATGATTGAGTTTTTAGTCAGACTGTTTGAAAATGTGGACAAGTGTTTTTTATACAATAATGAGTAACAACAGGGGCCAATAATACAGGAAACAAAAGCAGTACAGAAGCAGTTGCTACAGGTCTGTGAAGGCCAGACATCTTGCTTTTTTTTGGGGGGGGGGCAAGCACATATTTTTCCACTATAATTCACTAAATAAATTATTTAAAAATCCTACTGTGATTCCCTCTATTTAGTTTTCTCATTTTGTCTCTCGTTGAGCACCGTCATGAACATTATAGACCTCTCTCATCTTTCTAAGTAAAAGAACTTGCAAAATCAGTGGCTGACTAAATATTTATTTGCCCCACTGTGAATCTTATTAGTAAGCTGTAGAACAGTTTGTTCAATGTTGACCCAAATTAAACTTGTTGGCCTAAATTCTAAAGAGATTTAAAAAAGAAAAGAAAAACAACAACCCTCTATACTAAAACTATCATCAATACATGTATTTTTTAAATGGAGGAAAAAATATCAGACACCTCAAAAGCTTTCTAAGCTTTTAATACCAGACCATGTAGGTCGGATTGGGAGAAGAAGGGTAGCAGAGTGTTTTCAGGTCATGACCAGCTGGCTTCTCACTGCTTACCTCTAGGGAGGAGCTCCAGACAGTGAAAGAGAGCCATACTGCAGTAAATCTACACCTCACCATTTCCTCTCACTCCAGTCTCCATTTCTCCAAGGATTCAGGGAATCAATACTGGTATCAGTGGGCAGAGCAGCTTTCCTGCTTGCAAGCTCTGTTCCTGAACCACTAGCAGCCATGTGGAAGTTGACGTTTATTCATTAGTTTCCATTTCATCACTTTAAGTCCTTTTTAGGAGGGATTTAAAGCCATTTACTTGATTTTAGAATATCACTCTCATACCACTCAACGTGTAAATAAATACAAGACTAATGGAAGCATGTATCAGGTTATATTTTAGCATCTAGAGTATGATTACACCCACTCACCTTTCTCTTAATTTTTTTTATCATTCTTGTTATTATGTTAGAAGCCACAAAAATGATCCTGGAGAGTGTTTTTTTTTTTTTTTTTTATTTCTAATGTAAGGGAACCTAACCTCTGGGTGTTGACACAAAATTTGATTTTGTCCATTGATCAAACCTGCAGGTTGAGGACCTTTTCTTTTCAGAGAGGATGTTGAAAAAAAATCAGGGACAAGGCTAATTTAATTTTGGCAGGAGTAGAGATGCCTGGGCTAGAGTAAAGCACTCTGTTATCAAAACAGGAGCAGTGCCACAAGGAAAGATGGTTCTGTGGAGAGGCTTGTGTGGCCGGTCAAGAGATGAAATCAGGGATAGGCGATAAGATGGTGTGAGGGGGCTAGAAGCCCCTATTAGAGGCCCTCTGGGGACAGGCATCAGTAGCAAGGTGAAGTAAAAATAGCCATGGGCACGATTTTCGCTCTTGGGACACAGGAAGAAATGAAAAGGGAGATCTGATCAACATTTTGCAGTAAAGCATTCAGATCCATTCCCCCTACATTCCCCTGGGTGTCACCTATCCCACCAAGCGACAAACAGCACAACAGTGCTGGCCAGAAAACAAACATGCAACTTAAGCAATACTACTGTAAAAACATTAAATAATGTCATTCAGTGCAAATGAAAAATGATAGTGCAGATGTGTGAGAACCATTAGGTTAAAAAGGATATGGACATCTTTTCTATAAACTTATCTTGGGGGTCATCCGTTTTAGGGAAATTCTCAATGTCGTTCTCAAGTTTCTGAATCTGTCGCTCCATTGTGGCCAGACTGCTCTTCAGGATTTCAGCAGACACTGCAAAACAGAACATGACAACAAAACAGAAAAGACAATAGATTGTTATCAATATTTGGATTTACTGGAAATAAAAAAACAAAACAACAACACTCTAATAAATTTAACACAAAGCCATGCAAAGGCTGCATTTAAAGGAAAACCAGCTGCGACTGGGGCAGACTGAGTGTTGCGACAAACTGACTACAGTAAACTCAATTTGTGTGTGGCCTAGAAAGCCTGCGTCTGTGTGTGTATCTTTGAGCGGCTACAGTGTGTAGTTGTGTCTGCTTTGGCTCATTAATCAGTCTGTAATCACTGTTTGCAGAGTAGCTGTGAAATCCACAGTATTCAGATTAGGCCTTTCAAGTAGAAACTTCAAACAGCTAGAAGTGTCTAATGGGATCAGACGGGACAGGACCATGGATGAGGAAACCATGTTTAGGTTGCAGTTAAGAGGATAGTTTTATTGATGCACATACACATGGATTCAACATAAATACCTTTACAGGATTTGTCAATAAATACCTAAAACTGGCACACGGAGTAGTGTATATTTTATATTATTATTTTTTTTTTCCTCAATAGTTCAATTTGATAATTAAATATAAAAACATTACATTATATATAATCAAATGGGCAAAAAGGTGGTTACACCCCGGACAGTTGCAGAGTAATAATATTTAAAATATGATATCATGAATTTCAATACAGCGCATTAAAAAAGTTCATAAATATTTATTTGTATTAATAATTATTTGTTTTATAACCTTGTTATAGATGCCTCTCATTTGTTTTAAAAACTTAACTTATTTGCTGAATAAAATTCAGCATCTAAATCTGACAGCGGCATTAACAATTTTGAGTTTACCTAAAGATACTTTTATTTGTTTGACTTCATTTGAAACGCAAGGCAACACAAACAGCTCTGGAAATAATAGTCTGATCTCATCAGATGCATCCATGGTAAGATCTTCATCTTTCTTTATCTAAGTATCAAAGTTCAGTTTGAGTCTTAGTTTTGTTCCAGACGATAAATAAAAGCGGATTAGTTTGTTCTCAAACCATCTCCAACCTCAAAATGCAATCTTACAGAATTGATTTACAGACACATTCCTACCAGATACAAACATTTTAGCTCTAATTCAGCGAGACTGAAGCCAGAGCTCTCCGTCATTATTGGACTTTACAGCTAGCTGCCTGGGTAGAAAGACTGGGAGATTCCCAGCCCCTCCTCCCCAATTCCCGTAAACTCCACTCCAGGGAATGACACTGAGCAAAACACAGTCTCACATAGCCTGTTTCTCCACTGATAGGGCCTCTGAGATCCATGTGCTTTGCCACTGTGATCTTAGCTTCACTAATGGTGAAAAGGGGGAAGCGAACAAGCAAGAGAGGTGGGCTGATGATGCAAGAAAAGAGACAATTACATTCACACAGAGCTGCTGGGAGGTCTTTGTCAGGCACTGTGCCTTCTGATAGTAGTATTATAGTAGCTTGAGGCCTGAGTGATAGTACTGAGTAATGGTTTGGCTGAAACAGTGATTATAGTAACTATAGTAGCCAAGAAATAGTGGCTGAGGCAAAGCAGGACTGGTGTTTCAAGGGAGCTGTTAACAGGATCAGAGCACAGCTATGGGACTTCCGAACAGACTATTGTTTACACGGGAGCTGCCCAGTGTGAGACACATTGACACAAATATAGGAACTGAACTCCTTACCCAGACATATCCATTTTTTATACACCATATTGTATATGTTCATAGGCTTGTTACCACTTTCTAGAGCTACATTAGGCATGTATTATGAGTTCATTTTTGAGGTAATTACTTGTTTGCATAATAGAGCATCAAATCCTTAAGGATGTAATTAGTAAATCTACAACAAAAATTATTTTCCAATTTCCAAGAAAAAAAAGGGGGAAACATGAGAGTCTCCTGAATATATGAGGTAGATCAGAGGAGAAACAGAGGACAAGTGGGGTTGGACTATCTGGTAATGGCTGCGAGGAAGAGCTGCATGGTCTTTTAACAGACATGCCGCACGGATACAACCGCAAGGCTACATGATGTATGGGGGACAAAGAGGAGAGCAGGGAGGACAAAAGGCAATTTGAAAGACAAGATTCTAACTTAACATATTTATTGATATGAGGTCTGTAACACTAGCTGTTGGCACATTCCTCATTCCTAAAGGAGGGAAAAAGGGGAAAAAACAAGATAAAGACAGAACACATTATGCTTGCCTTGTACCACTCAAATAAAGTGTCAGAGAAACACACTGTGTAGCTCACAATACCAAATCAACCACCGTAATGTTAACATGTCAATTTTTTGTTCTGTAATTTGTAAAAGGGGCAATTTTCTTTTTGATTTATAGACAAATAATTCCAGTTTGTCAAGCAGAGTGTTCTTTCAGTGCTGCCTTAGGATACAAGAAAAATTATTCATTTTTCTTTTCACACTTTAAGGCAAAATCTTCAAATAATATACACACTTTTTTGAATTCAGGTGAGATGGTACATAAATCTAAAAGTGCAGGTATTTCATAAATGTATCTCTTACCTTGGTGAAGTCAAAGTAAGAAATGTGCTTAGATTTTTGTAAAAATGTATATCATTTCTAAAAGAAACTACTTCAAAGCTTTCAATATAGTTTGAAGTCTTCCTAATAGAATCGACAAAAAGTAGGGTATTAATGCACTTCCCCACCCACACCTATTGCTGTACACTGCTGGCCAAAATACCAACCTTTCCTCATTTTACTAGAAAGACCAAATTGTTAGAGTGCTAATACTTTAAAATACCAAAACTCATCTGGTGCATCATGCAAACAAAAAAAGTCACTAATTAGTAAAATTAAAAAATACGAGCTGCATGAAACTCACAGATTGTTCTGGAACGGTGGGACTCCTTATTCAATTATTAGCTCATATCATCCTGTTATGGTGTGTTCACATCAAACACAATTTCAAGGACTTTTTGAACGTATTCAGATACCTCCGCTCATTTGACACATCGCCATGTAATTTGTTCCACTCCTGTCCTTCACCACATCATCAAATCAGATGAGCTTCTATCTGCTGCTTGCAGGTTTTATCTCAATACGGACCTGGTTTTTACTGAGCCACTCACTTACAAGGCTTTCTCATTAGGGAAAACCTAATATAGCTGCAAACTTTGGCCTCCCTGGGTTCACCAGATTCTTCAGAAGCTAAGCCAGTTTGGAGAGTACCACTACAGTACCTACCTCGGTAGCTGTGTCGGGATGAAAGCCACTTTCAGTGGTAGTTCTGTCTCTCCAGGAACCAGTTTGAGGACCTGCTGTCCTGGATTGGTGGATGACTCAGCTTCAGGGATACCAACTACAGACAATGTATTTCTGCTTCTGCAGGAAACCTATCCATTTGTCTAAGTAATGCACTGCAAGACGGCCGACAAATAGAACCTAAACGCACCTCTACATAGGGGTAAATATACTCGTTCTGGTCACTGGAATCACATTAAGTGTGAATGTACCAGTATAACTTCTACTAAATTTAAAGAATAATTGCTCTAAACAAAATACAGAAAAGCAAGGAATTTAAAGAATTCCTTTTTTTTTTTTTTTTACTAAAATTAAAGATGAAATCAAGTTAGAGAATATTTGTGTAGATAGTCCAAAACTTATCATACCATTAAACTGTTATACATACTTTTCTTAGACTGAATGTATTGGAATTGTCATTTTTCTTCAAATTTTGTGATTTTAATTCTATGTGAAGGTTTTAAAACTACAGGGAAAAAAGTAAACTAGCAATTTACCTCAGTATTTTCACAATATGATCCATCAATTTTATAGAGGACAGCTATGCTATTCTAAAAGTATGCAGTGGGCACCAGATCTGATTGCATCCACTCAAGACAGTGTTTGTTATTCTACCAGATGTACAACAGCAGGTTTCAGAGGCGCCCTAAAAAAGTAACTAGTATATATTCTTCTTATCCTGAAAGCTGTGTCAGGCTCATGGTGTGGGGACCGGAAGGAACTTTATTGCAGATGAAACGTTGCCCCATGGAACCTCAGGGTTAAAAGCAATCTCGACCCAGCATGACGCCTCCCTCTCAAATCTCTCATGACCCTCCTTGCATATGCAGCACAGAACGAAATGAGGGAGCAACCTGGAAGAGGTTTTGCACATGGTAGGATGCATAAAATGAATGTTTTAGTTCTATGCAACACATAAAAGTCAAAGTTTTAGCATCAAAAACCAGTGTCTTTCATTTTCAGTCGTATTTAAAGTAAATTGGATATCCAGTAGAAGGACAGGTGAAATCGACACAAATAAACAACAGTCTGTGCTCCCATTTCAGTAGGAGTCTAAGCCTCTCAAGTTGCAGTGGAGAGAGCAATATCGTTGCTGTTGCACAGCAGTCTCATTGTTCTTTCTGATTATCTTGGATCATGCGATGTTGCAAACAGCAGGCAGGAGAAAGTGGCAAATTAGAAAATTTAATGGACAGCATAAACAAAGAAGAGGGGGGAGTGCTGGTGGTCGAGAGTAATCTATTAACATTACTGTTCAGTATTCACATGTCAGAAGACTGACTTCTTGCTTTGTCACAGCGGCATAAATAAGTAAGAAGTTTGAGTCATTTATCGAATTCTAAATATTTACAACATATGTTATGTTGAATTATTTAGCATCACACAAATATCTAAGAGATAGCTGTTGAATTATACTGGAAAATAAACAATTGGCACACGCACCGCCTGAATTAATATACAAGTTTAACTGTGCGCAAGTAACATTAAATCTTCTTTTTTTTCTGTTTTCTTCTCCTTTTCCTTTCATCATTAAGCTTTAATGTACAATAAATATTAAAGCCATGAATAAAAGGAAGCTTAAAATCATACATTTAACTGTGAGGTATTTTTATTTGACTGTATGCAATACTATTCAATTTGAAGTTAAACAATATAAATGGATGTGAAGGTAAAACAGAAAGACAAAAAAAAGGAGAGGAAAAAAACTTCCTGCAC